GTTCCATTGATCTGTATTTCTGTCTTTGTGCCAGTACCATACTGTCTTGATGACTGTGGCTTTGTAGTAGAGCCTGAAGTCAGGTAGGTTGATTCCTCCAGTTCCATTCTTCTTTTTCAAGGTTACTTTGGCTATTCGAGGTTTTTTGTATTTCCATACAAATTGTGAACTTATTTGTTCTAGTTCTGTGAAAAATACCGTTGGTAGTTTGATAGGGTTTGCATTGAATCTATAGATTGCTTTGGGTAGTATAGCCATTTTGACAATGTTGATTCTTCCAATCCATGAACACGGTATATTTCTCCATCTGTTTGTGTCCTCTTTGATTTCTTTCATCAGTGTTTTATAGTTTTCTATGTATAGGTCTGTTGTTTATTTAGGTAGATATACTCCTAAGTATTTTATGTGTCTTTATATTTCTAAGGATGGTGTATTTATGTTGCTTAATCCGTTTTCTCTGCCTGGGCTTTCTCTTGACCATGACACAAGTGTTTAACCTAGTAAGTCTTTGACAAAAGAAAGTACAAAGTTTATTGACCCAGATTAGGATTAAACTGATGAGTGTAGTCTAATTAGAATATCCTCAAACTGACCTGACTAGTTGCACACAGTTAATTAAATGTTAATAAATCACAGTTGTTTGCTTCACTCCTCCCCTTAATAAAAGCTACCTAAAATTACTTATTTTTCTCTAAACCAAGAAGATACTCTGCTTGCAAAATCTGTGCATGTGTGTATGTGTGAGGTCACTCAGTCGTGTCCAGCTCTTTGTGACCCCACGGAATGTAGCCTGCCAGGTTCCTCGGTCCATGGATTTTCCAGGCAAGGATACTGGAGTGGGTTGCCATTTCCTTTGCCAGGCAAAATCTGTGTACATTGTATCTAATAAGCACTAAATTTACAGAAGTTCCCTGCAGTCCAGGGTTAGGACTCTGTGATTCCACTGCAGGGGGTGGGGTTCCATCCCTAGTTGAGGAACGAAGATCCTGCAAACTGCACAACAGGGCCAAGAAAAGAAAGAAAAAAAACCCCACTAAATTTACAATACGATATTTTATTAAATCTAAGGTACAGTTCGTTGGAAGATATATTTTCTTACATGTACCACTAAGAAAAAAATACAGCCAACTAAACTATTAATTTGTCATCAATTACAGGGATCCTTATTTCAGATACATTAAAATGTGGAAAATATGCATCTGGAATTGATGAAATATGATACCAGATTATCTTTCTTTTTAAATTTTTTTAAATTGAAGTATAGTTGATTAACAGTGTTGTGTCCACCCCTGCAATACAGCAAAGTGACTCGGTTATACATACATAGTAGTGAAAATAGCTCAGCTGTGTCCCATTCTTTGGGACTCTATGGACTATACAGTCCATGGGATTCTCCAGGCCAGAATACTGGAGTGGATAGCCTATCCCTTCTCCAGCAGATCTTCCTGACCCAGGAATCAAACTGGGGTCTCTTGCATTGCAGGTGGATTCTTTACCAACTGAACTATCAGGGAAGCCCTTACACATAACAGACGTTCTTTTTTTTTTTTTTAATTCTTTTCCATTGTGGCTTATCCTAGGATATTGAATACAGTTCCCTGTGCTATACAGTGGGACCTTGTTGTTTATCCATCCAGATTATCTTTCCGCGAAAGTTTTGTATTGATGTGGGAGATGGTTTTATTGGCTGGCAAACCCTTACGTGTGTGAAACAGATCTTGTGTTCAGACAAAATAATCCTTCTCCATAGGCCCAGGAAATGGAAAAAAATTGCAGTCTGACGTGTATATGGGAACTGACCATAGGAACATCCACTATCAAAATGAATGCTTCTGCTGATGTTTAGCTAAACTTATTATGAGATGTAAAGAGGAAGAATCAGAATCTTAGCATCAGCATTTTGCTGTGACCACATTTGTGATTCATGTACATTTTCCTGAGATCAGTTCTAGAACTCAGTTAAAAGAATGAAAGAAGCAAATGGCAGGTTGAATTAATAGCTATTAAGGCTATTATATGGGGTGCTTTAGTAAAGCATACAAGAAGAGAATTTATAGAAAGGTTAGAAAGAAGTAGAGGAATAAAAGCAAAGGAGGGAACTTCTGGGACTGATCGAAATGTTCCATATCTTGATTATGGTGATGATTACAAGGGTATAATCTACTTATTTGTTAAAACTTTTCAAATTATATCCTTAAAATCTGCATTTCATTATATGTAAACTGTACCTAAAAAAATAGAGTACAAGACCAAAAGTGATATATAGGAATATAGGAATGTGTAATATAGGTATACTTTTTGTATATAGAAATACTTTTATTGATGAGTTGCAATTTTAAAAAGCCAAGTGTTTACTGTCAGACAAAACAAAGCAAAAAAAGGGAAATAGTGGATGTGGTATAAAAGGATACTGAAATAGAAGACAGAGAAATATGTTAATAATTTGAAATAATCTTTAGTTGGAAGAATAAATAACAGCTGTTCATATGTAGAAATCCTGAAAGATGTGTTTCCAGATTAATAGTGCAATGGTTAAAAAAATAAACCTGAAAATTAAAATGTACTTAGAGATATGAAGTCTGGCAAAATGTTTTATGTAATCATTAAAAAGAAAATATTAGCAACTGAGATAAAGTTTTGACAGAATGTAAAGACAGTCTGGAAAATCTAGACTAGCATTCCCTCATATGGTTTTTAAGGCTTATTCTGAAAATTGTTTTGATACGTCTGTGATAGAACATAGGATTCTGTGTTTTTTAATAACCATCCAAGCTGAGTCTTACCAGTTGTGTCTGAGAAATGCTAGACCAAGCAGTGAAGACATAAATGAAGAACTGCCAAGATTGTTATTCCAAAATCCGTAAGATAAATTTATTAGTTTCCTGGGGCTGCTGTAACAAGTTACCACAAACTTGATGGGTTAATACAACCGAGTTTTATTCTCTCACAATTCTGCAGGCTAGAAGTCTGAAATCAGTATCACTGAGCTGAAATCAAGGTGTTGGCAGGGCCATGCTCCCTGAGGCTCTAGCAAAGAATTAGTTACTTGTCTCTTCCAGCTCTCTGCAGCTGCCTGCACTCCTTGGCTTGTGGCCTTACCACTCTAATCTCTGCCTCCTTAGTTAAGTTGCTTTTTCTCCTTTGGTCTGTGTCAAATCTCCCTCTTATAAAGATACATGTAATTGTATTTAGGGCCCACCTGGGTAATCCAGGATAAACTCCACATCTTTTTTGTTGTTGTTGTTTTTACCATAGAAGGTCACATCCACAGGGATTTGGACGTGGATGTCTTTGGGGGAGCTCTAATTCAGCCGACCACAATAAACATCTGAAGAATGGCCTCAATATGAGTAAAAAGAAATAAGCAAACAGATTTCTTAAATTAGAATTAAGGTGAGGGGTTTAGAAAAGAGGTAGGAAACAGTTTGAAGACCTGATAAGACTAAATAAAAGCAAGAAAACCAAAGAACAGAGACTAATGTTTCCAACATTGTGGAAGCAATGAAGGTAATTGGAAAATGAAAAGGAAAACTTCTTTGTAATTCAGGACAGCCTTTAATTTCTTTTATCAGACAATGGCTACATGTAGCAGAGTACAATAGTGATTTTTAAAACATTTTTATATAAGTTTATAGTATTAACTTAAAAATATGATTGCCGGTTGAAATTTAAATTCAGTATAAACTTATTAAAGTTCCCAATAAAGTTTTTGTTAAAGGCCATCATAGATAGTATCATGCATTTTAAATAATGATTCATTTCTTCTGTTACTGTTAAGTTAGATTGTAATAGTATTTATTTTTTAAAAATACATCTACTCTATAATATAGAACCAGTAGTGCAAAAGTGAAATAGTATTTTACTTTCATTACTAATAAACAACTCTATTTAATGAGAAACTTCACAAAAATCATCTTTTAATAAGTCACAAAATTTCTTAGAGGCTTTTTTCCAATTTTATAAAAGTAATTCATGCATATTGTGGAAAGTTGGGAGAATAAAAGAACATAGAAGAAAATCCACTGCAACTCACATTTTGTTGTATTTCCTATACATAATAATTTTATGTATGCATTTTTAAAAAATATAATTGAGATCATAGAGTGAACAGCTTTGCTTCTAGCGTTTTTTCCATTTGCATCGTAATTGAAATTTGAAACACTAATGATTCGGGAAGATTCCAAAGGCAGTCCTGCTTTTACAGCTGGAGTATTTGAAGCAGGCTAGTTAGATTTTTAATATTTCGTATCTTTGCATCTGGCTAAGACTTGATTTTATCTTTTAGTGTATTTGCTTCTTTTGTAAATCTTCAAATTACCCTAAGATATTAGAGTATTAGTCTGTTTAAAAGGGAAGAAAAATGAGTGATATTTAAGAATGAGTAAAATTGTGGTTAGAATTATGAGTGAAGTCTTCTCGTAGATGAGTAAATAGAAGCATTAAATACGGAATACACCCAATTCTTCTAATGTACTGAAGCTATAGAGTAAAATTTAATACATATCACAGGAGTTAATTATTATCTGTTAGCATTTTTCTTAGCACTTTGCATATATATAATATGTTTTACTGTCATTAATTTTATTATATATTCCTGAATTAAAATAAGCAATAAAATTTAAATGATTGGCCGTTATTCTTTTCATTATTTTTCTTATTCTTAAAGGTAGATACGTTTCTTAATTTTAGGACACTTGAACTTGTAAAAGACCATCTTTTTGGAAAATAGTTTACTGGTTTACTTTCTGGGTGAAACTATAGTAAATCATAGGTTAGCACATTGACTCATACAAAGGATAGTTGAAAGGTGTAGAATGAAAATTGATTAATATAACATACCCAAAGCACCTCCCCCAAAAGATAGATTAAATGAACTTGCATACTTGTTAGATCTAAGATTCACTATTTTAGTTTTGTTTTTGCACGTCTTATTGTCTAGGAAAAGAATGAATTTGCATAAAAACCTATAGTATTTTCACTGAGGTATTATTTTTTTCTAGCTTAAAGCAATAAATGTAGATCTTCAGAGTGATGCTGCTCTGCAGGTGGACATTTCTGATGCTCTGAGTGAGAGAGACAAAGTAAAATTCACTGTTCACACAAAGGTAAATGGGATTTTTTTACTTATGTTATTTTAATTATTGTGCTGTTACATATGTAATAGTTCACTGACTAGAATTTTGGTTTTTAGCATAATTAGAAATTGTATTTTAGTTTATAATTCACTGCTGCTTATTTTTCATTAAAGACTAAGTTTAGAAAATAAGGTATAAAATGTTCATAGAAGTTTATATAGTCTAATCTTAATTTTTATTTGAGAGAATCTCTGTGTTTGCAGAGTTCATTGCCAAATTTTAAACAGAACGAGTTTTCTGTTGTTCGACAACATGAAGAATTTATCTGGCTTCATGATTCCTTCATTGAAAATGAAGATTATGCAGGTTACATTGTAAGTATTGAGGTTCCATTTTAATCCTATTTTCTAGGAGCTTTTTGGATACTTCATTATGTGTGGAAATCTTATTCAACACTTCCAGTGAACTGATGTAATTTTTTAAAGAATTGCCAGCTATGAAACATAATTGACTGCCACCTTTTATCCCAAGTTGTCTTGTTTGGGAGTGTGGCGATATCGATATGTAATGCTCCCTCATTTAAACTTAAATTCTTGCTGTTTATTAGAGTTGAAATGAGCTTGTCCTGGGGGGATAATAACTAAGGAGGTGTTACAGACCGTATTGGTCTTGAACCATTAGGTAGGCAGATGTTTAGAGTTGGAGGGCTCCTGAGAGATTATCTAATGTGAATATGCACCTGGTGTTGTGCCTCAGCTGTTGACCACACTCAGATTTCTGGAACTGTTTCATTTGATTTCCTTGAAATCATCCTGACCTGATTCCATCTTTATCCTTGTGGCCCTTACTCTCAGTCATTTGCGTTTTTTTTTTTTCTTTCTACAACTCCAGTTTGGTGCACAAGGGGCAGTGCTTTTGTTGTTGTTAATTGCCAGTTTTTATAAAGAATACAACTCAGGAACAGCCCAGTGGAAGAGATGCATAGGATGAGATATTGGGGTGAAGGGTTGGCACAGAACTCTCATGCCCTTGCCAGGATGTACCACCTTCCATTTTCCCAGCATGTCAGTGTGTTTACTAGCTTGGAAGCTTTCCTGTATCCACCCTTTTCCCCCTCAACCTTCTTGTATGGTGTTATTTTCTTAACTACTTTTTTCTCTCATAGACTAAACCATCCTCAAAGATCAAGACCATGTCTTATTTATCTTTATCTGCTGGTCTTTCAGCATCACACCTGGCACACAGTAGATGTCGTGTGTGGGCAGCAATGAGCATGTGCCAGTCTACCTGGTGTTCCCTTCCCTGTTGCTTTCCTTGATATAGTCCTTTTCTTCTGGTCGTTGCTGTTTTGCTGTTTTAACTTCCCCCTACTCACCTTTCCTTCTGCTAACTTGCTATCTTTGCTTTCCATCATTTCCCCTTCACAGTTCTTACTTGCATGCTCTTCCTCTAAGATAGATTTTTTTTTTCTTATATCATTCCCTTGAGTGATACATCTCTTTTAGACCTTGTATTTTTATTTAAGGTAAGTGCTTTCTCCCTCACTGTGGGAGAATAGGGGGAGGTTAGTCATTAGTCTGTGCCTTATTCTCTTGTAGTTGAGTCAGTGCTTTCTGCCTCTGGTACATTCCAGTCATACCATTTACATACTTTGGAAAAATAGCATGCATATTTGCAACACATTTAATTAGTGTGTACTTAGAGCTTAATGTGCATATACATTTGAGAGCTCTAGGTTGTCACATAGGAGTCTACAGACTAAAATTTGGGTTCAGTTCAGTTCAGTCGCTCAGTCATGTTCCACTCTTTGTGACCCCATGAACCGCAGCACGCCAGGCCTCCCTGTCCATTACCAACTTCTGGAGTTTACCCAAACTCATGTCCATTGAGTCAGTGATGCCATCCAACCATTTCATCCTCTGTCGTCCCCTTCTCCTCCCGCCTTCAATCTTTCCCAGCTTCAGGGTCTTTTCAAATGAGTCGGCCCTTCACATGAGGTGGCCAAAGCATTGGAGTTGCAGCTTCAGCATCAGTCCTTCAGTGAACACCCAGGACTGATCTCCTTTAGGATGGACTGGTTGGATCTCCCTGCAGTCCAAGGGACTCTCAAGAGTCTTCTCCAACACCACAGTTCAAAAGCATCAATTCTTCAGCGCTCAGCTTTCTTTATAGTCCAACTCTCACATCCATACATGATCACTGGAAAAACCACAGCCTTGACTAGACGGACCTTTGTTGACAAAGTAATGTCTCTGCTTTTTATTTTTTATTTTTTTCCATTTATTTTTATTAGTTGGAGGCTAATTACTTTACAACATTGCAGTGGTTTTTGTCATACATTGAAATGAATTAGCCATGGATTTACATGTATTCCCCATCCCGGTCCACCCTCCCACCTCCCTCTCCACCAGAGTTTCTGCTTTTTAATATGCTGTCTAGGTTGGTCATAACTTTCCTTCCAAGGAGTAAGCGTCTTTTAATTTCATGGCTGCAGTCACCATCTGCAGTGATTTTGGAGCCCAGAAAAATAAAGTCAGCCACTGTTTACACTGTTTCCCCATCTATTTGCAATGAAGTGATGGGACCAGATGCCATGATCTTAGTTTTCTGAAAGTTGAGCTTTAAGCCAACTTTTTCACTCTCCTCTTTCACTTTCATCAAGAGGCTCATTAGTTCTTCACTTTCTGCCATAAGGTATCATCTGCATATCTGAGGTTATTGATGTTTCTCCCGGCAATCTTGATTCCAGCTTGTGCTTCTTCCAGCCCAGCGTTTCTCATGATGTACTCTGCATATAAGTTAAATAAGCAGGGTGGCAGTATACAGCCTTGACGTATCCTTTTCCTAAAGTTTGGGTGCTGCTGATCTGATACCAGAATATAGTGCTGCGCTCTGTTTCTTCCTTGGTGTTAAGCACCTCACGAATCTTAATTTCTAGACTTAATCAACTTCTCTAACCTTAATTAGGATATTCCTCATTCATTCAGGATGTCTTTAGCTCTCTCAGACAGCAGTCTTTTTTTTTTGAGAGAGAAATAAAGTTTATTAGAGTGGGAGGCGCTGTTAGAACAGTGGGCCAGCTCAAGGGAGAACTGATGAGACAAGTCTTTAGTGGTGGCAATAGTGCAAATACTGAGAGAAATAAAAGTCTTTAAAAACTAGTGGTTTAGGGGACTTCCCTGATGGTCCAGTGGTTAAAACTCTGTGCTTTCACTGCAGGAGGCGTGAGATATATCCCTTTTCGGGAACTAAGATCCTCTTGATGCATGGCACAATCAAAACAAAACTAGTGATTTTATTCTGTGACAGATCCCTCCAGCACCACCAAGACCTGATTTTGATGCCTCAAGGGAGAAACTGCAGAAACTTGGAGAAGGAGAAGGGTCTATGACAAAGGAGGAATTCACGAAGATGAAACAGGAGTTGGAAGCGTATGTGACTTTTGTTGTTATTTGTGCTTGTTTTTAGGCCCTTTTTTTGTTTGGTTGGTTTTTGTTTTTGTTTCTCTGCTCTCTGATGTCCCATCCTTTCAATCATTTCACCACAGTGACCCTTTCTGGAAGATGCAGGAAGTCATACAACCAGTGTTAACTATCATGATCAGAGCCTACAGGAAAATTATAGAATAATTGTCTGCATTGTAAAATTCTTTAAATTCCTGTTTTCAATAAACTCTGAAGATTGAAAACAAAAGATCCACAAGTTCATAAAAGATAGTAGAAAGGGAAATAATGATTTTTTTAAAACACACATGTAGATCCTTTTATTTTTATTTACAAGGCCTTAGTCATTACCCACCTGGTTCTCTTGTTTGGACAAGTGCATTCTACCAAGATTTCTGTTTCTCATATAAGCATGCACTAAGCAACTCTGGATATTTTCTTCTTTCTTTTTCAAAATGTGTGTGTGTGTGTGTGTGCGCGCGCGTGAATGTGTGTGTAATTTTCCCCCTCCTCATTTGTCTGCCTATGGCTTCTGCCTGAAGGGAAAAGAATAGGAGCAAAGCAGTGAGAGAATACAGTTTTTTAGCATTTTTTATTAAATGATTATTAGACATACATTGACATACATATTAGACATACATTGACATACTAGACATACATTGAATTCTTGAAAAAATTCTATTTCATTTTTAGTGTATTTGCTGAAAATAGAGTTTTTCCCCTTCTCTTAAACATTTGAAATAATTTTGGATTGCTGCATATTGTTTTTCAGTATTTTGAGAGTTAAACAAGGAAATCGCTTTCCTTGCATTACCATCACCTCCATCACTGTTTCTGATCATTTCTCTGTGCATTTCCTTTTCTCCTCTTCCACTGAATTTCAGCTTTTAAGCATATATCCATGCTGCTACTAGACCCTTCTCCAGAATGCTGAACCCTTGACAAGAGAGGTTAGCAAAGCAGGTCTTCCTTGTTAAAGTGTAAGGTGACAGGTATTTTAAGAATTCTGTCAATACTGAGTGCAAGCAGTAGCCTGATAGTGGACAGGTACAACTTCTAGAGTTTATAAGCCTGAAAGCTGGAAGTGAGCAGCGCACATTAATATTGAATCTGTGGTTTTCCAGTGGCCCTGATCATGATTCTTTTGTGGTCTGGTCAGGGGTTGGATAACAGAGAACCTTGGGTTTATTCTACTGCTACCTCCATCCTCTGCATCCTTCTTTTTTGTCTTCACTGAATGACTACCCTCACAGAGATCAAACTTCTCCCAACATTGGTCCTGCTGGTTTGCTGGTATGTAGAACTTAACCTCCTTGCACGTAATTGAAGCAAGAATATTGGTCCTTTTCCTTGAGTGTCTTTTTTTTTTCCAAACTGACATGTATTACTATATGATCGCTGTGATTCACTGATGATATTAAAATGTTTTAAACACAGTTCTTCAATGTATTGGAAAACACTGGTCTCTCCATGGTGTGTTTCTTTCTTGTGTGCTTGGGTCTTTAGATGAAAATAGTTATTTAAGTTGAAAATATGCTTACTGAGGTTTTTGTTATTTATTTATTTGTATGAAGGTGTTTAAAAGCAGTAATTATCTAGAAATTGAATCATTAAAATTGTATGCTATAATTTGTAGTATACTTTCTCTGAAGCTGAAAACAAAAAGCCCTCTAGTTACCTTTAACATCAACTTGCATAGGAAGAAAGGTTCATAAAACCTAAAAATATTAACATTTATATATAATAAATACTATTAACTAGCATGAAGTCTTTTCAGAGCTGGGTTTTATATATTTCGTTAACAGTTCAACTAAAAACCTTTGTTTACATGGATTATATCTTTGTGCCTCTAGTTTTGCATTTAGAATAATTCCTAGTATTTGCTTAAAAAACTTGCGGGTGTTTTTCTGCAATGTTTTACCTTTAATTTTGTGTATTATTTCTAGTGAGTATTTGGCAATATTCAAGAAGACGGTTGCAATGCATGAAGTGTTTCTGTGTCGTGTGGCTGCACATCCCATTTTGAGGAAAGATTTAAATTTCCATGTCTTCCTGGAATATAATCAAGATGTGAGTATTGAATTGATCAAAGCAGTGATCAAGGTTTATTTTAAAGAGTCATTGGAAGGAGAAGGGAATTGTTAGAAAAGGCTTAAGGCCTTATAAATACATTTTATAAAATGTTCTGATTTTTCAAGGCAGTTTAATATGACTCTTTTTTAATGATGATCCAGTATTTCAGTAGAACTTGAGTAGATTAATTTTTTAAATGATGCTAAACTACATGGGATATTGAGTTTGATCCTGAATTGTGAACTTCTTAAGAAATAGAGTTATTAAATCGGTTAATGTTTCTTAAATTTGAGTGTGGAGGCTTCTGAAGCCTTATGGAGAATTCCAGAGAAGTTCTTGAGCTAAAGAATTCCCAGTTACTTTTGGGTTGATCATTGACTTGATCTGTTTAACCTGCCTCCTTCAGTGCTGGTTGCTGCTGATTTTCCTCCCTCCTTCCCTCCCTGCCTCAAGAGGTTTCTTCATTCGTGGTCCTGAAAAAAATCTTTTTAGTGGATGGATGATACAGATCTTGGAGTCTCTGTTTGGATGCCAAGATTAACTCATACTTTTAACAGAAGACAGATGTTTCCTAACCTTCATTCATTTCTTCCTATGGCATCAGTGACCACACTCAGGACCTCATCTCACCCCCAAGTTCTTAAACCCTGATATGATGGACCCCAAACATAGCCTTGTCCTCACAACTTCCTTTTTCCCAGTTCCCACTGCAGTTCTTTGATTCACTGCTGCATCTAGACCCTTGACTTCTCCTGCACTTTGACCCTGTCAATAGCCCTTTTGTTTTTCTTTCTTTCTTATCTTGCCTAGAATGCCATATCAGTGCTAGGACTTTAGACAGATCTCTCTCATTTTCCATTAAAGCTAATTTCATTAATTCTTCTTGATCAAATAATGACCTTGTTCACTGGGAGTGGACACCAGTCAGAAAGCAAATGCCTGAACCTCCTGTATCCCCCCATAGCCTTCAATCACCTTGGCAGCCACACTCCTTTAATAGCTTTCTTTTCTTTTTTCTTTTTAACTTCCTCCTTTCCAATCTGGATGCCTTTTTAAATTTTGCTTGCCTGACTGCCCTGGCTGGAACCTCCAGTACGGTGTTAAATGGAAATGATAAGAACAGACATCCATGTTCTGTCCCTGATCTTTAGGGAAAAAGTACTTACTCCTTCACTATCAAGTGTGATGTTAAGTGTGGGTTTTTACCTAGATACCCTTTGTCAGCTTAAAGAGGTTCTGTTCCTAGTTTGTCGAGTGTTTTTATCATGAAAAAGAACATCTATTGAGATGATCATGTTTTTTATTCTGTTAATGTGGTGAAATACATCATGCTTTTCCATTTTGACTGAGATACCTTTCTAGCTATGCTGACTCCCATGTTCTTGTGGATCTATGGGAATCCGTCTTGATGTGTTCACCTCTTAACTCTATGGCTGCTTCCCAGTCTGCTTCATGGGCTTTTCCCTCTATATATCCATTCATTTAAATCTGATTCTTCCAAGGTTCCTCACTGAGTTCTCTACAAGTCTATATAAGATGTCTAATTCTGTAAATTCTCTCTAATACCTGCTTCTGTGGCTCCATCGATTCTGATATGCTATTAACTTAGAAATCTATGGGAATTCCTTGGTGGTCCAGTGGTTAGGACTCTGTGCTTCCACTGCTGGGAGCACGGGTTTGATCCCTGGTCACGGAACTAAGATCCCAGAAGCTGCATGGGACAGCACCACCTGGCCACTCCCCTCGCCCCAGCTGTATCACTCCTGAGTCCCAGCACTATTCATTAAATAGCCTCCTGAAAAACCTCCATTTAGGTGTCCCTTGGCCTTTTACCCTCAGCTGAACCCTTCTTTTAAATCCATGCCTCCTTTTGTACTCTCTGTCTTATCTCAGAGAAGGCATCAATAACTCCCAGTCCCTTCCACCATGAAAATTACTCAGGACTCCTTTTGTCTATTCCTATCAGGAGTCACCAGATTCTCTCTGTCTCATTTTAATGTGCATACTTCCTTCCATCACTAGACCGAAAGACTAGTCCAGACTTTCATAACCATCGCCTGGGTTATTGGGTAATTGACCCTGACTGGTCAGTCAGCCTCCGGTCTTAACCTTTCTCAACCCCTCAGTCGTATTGAGTTCCCTGGATGCTTCGCTGATACCCCGTCAGTAGCTTTAACACTGTACTTCTCATACTGTGTGTAATTATATGTTTGCTTCTCTCTGTCCTCCTCTGTACCATAAGTTACTTTAAGGGTAGGGACCACCTCTTAATCATCTTAATATTTGTAACACCCAGCATAGTGCATGGTTACAATATACATTCATTATGGTTTGTTATTAAATAAGTGAATTAGTGAAATAATTAATATAAAAAGTAAGGTTAAAAAAAAGCTGGAGTGCTTTGAGAGGCCTAAGATAGAGCAGTGAATTCTAACTGGGAATTTGAAGGGGTTTCATGAAGAGATGCCTTTTATTTTGAATGTTAAAGTATGAATAGTTTTTGGTGGGAGAGGAGATACCATTTCAAATACAGAGGAACCTAAGAGTTCAGAGCCTCTTTCGACAACAGTGTGGAGCATAAGGCTCTTCAGGGTTTGGGGGGAGATGGAAAGGTAACCTGAACCAGGTTTTTTCAAAGTGTTGAGTACCTTGCTAAGGGGATTGGTGTTCAGTCTCTGAACATTATGAAAGTCTGTGAACTTATTTAAGTATGGAAGAGATGCTCAAAGTGTGATTTTGGAAGGAAAAAGAAATAAGTTGTAGATTGTGTCAAGATTTTTAATAAAAGGTATGGGGTTTTCATACTTTCATACCTTCACAGTCATTCTCTCCCATCAGGAAGCTTCCATAAGTCTCTTATCCATCAGAGGGCAGACAGAATGAAAACCATAATCACAGAAAACTAATCAAACTGATCACACGGACCACAGCCTTGTTTAACTCAGTGAAACTATGAGGCATGCCGTGTAGGGCCACCCAAGATGGACGGATCATAGTGGAGAGTTCTGACAAAATGTGGCCCACTGGAGAAGGAAATGCAGACTACTTCAGTATTCTTGCCTTGAGAACCCCATGAACAGTATGATAAGGCAGAAAGATATGACACTGAAAGATGAACTCCCCAGGTCAGTACATGCCCAATATGCTACTGGAGAAGAGTGGAGAAATAACCAGAAAGAACGAAGAGTCGGAGCCAGAGTGAAAACAGTGCCCAGGTGTGGATGTAACTGGTGATGGAAGTAAAGTCCAGTGCTGTAAAGAACAATAAAAGAACGATATTGCATAGGAACCTGGAATGTTAGATCCATGAATCAATTGGAAGTGATCAAACAAGAGATGGCAAGAGTGAACATTGACATTTTAGGAATCAGTGAACTAAAATGGACTGGAATGGGCAAATTTAACTCAGATGACTGTTACATCTACTACTGTGGGCAAGAATCCATTGGAAGAACTGAAGTAGCCCTCATAGTCAACAAAAGAGTCTGACATGCAGTACTTGGGTGCAATCTCAAAAATGACAGAATGATCTCTGTTCGTTTCCAAGGCAAACCATTCAATATCACAGTAATCCCAAGTCTTTGCCCCAACCACTAATGCCAGAGAAGCTGAAGTTAAACAGTTCTGTGAAGACCTACAAGATCTTCTAGAACTAACACCCAAAAAAGATGTTCTTTTCGTCATAGGGGACTGGAATGCCAAAGTAGGAAGTCAAGAGATACCTGGAGTAAGAGGCAAGTTTGGCCTTGGAGTACAAAATGAAGCAAGGCAAAGGCTAACAGAATTTTGCCAACAGAACGCACTGGTCATAGCAAACACCCTCTTCCAACAGCACTAGAGATAACTAACTCTACACATGGACATCACCAGATGGTCAATACTGAAATCAGATTGATAATGTTCTTTGCAGCTGAAGATGGAGAAGCCTTGTACAGTCCGCAAAAACAAGACCAGGAGCTGACTGTGGCTCAGATCATGAACTCCTTATTGCCAGATTCAGACTTAAATTGAAGAAAGTAGGGAATACCACTGGATCATTCAGGTATGACCTAAATCAAACCCCTTAACAATTATACAGTGGAAGTGACAAATAGATTCAAGGGATTAGATCTGATAGAGTGCCTGAAGCACTGTTGCTGGAGGTTCATGACATTGTACAGGAGGCAATGATCAAGACCATCCCCAAGAAAAAGAAATGCAAAAAGGCAAAATGGTTGTCTCAGGAGGCCTTACAAATAGCTGAGAAAAGAAGAGAAGCGGAAGGCAAAGGAGAAAAGGAAAGATATACCCATTTGAATGCAGAGTTCCAAAGAATAGCAAGGAGAGATAAGAAAGCCTTCTTCAGTGATCAGTGCAAGGAAATAGAGGAAAACAACAGAATGGGAAAGACTAGAGATCTCTTCAAGAATATCAGAGATACCAAGGGAATATTTCATGCAAAGATGGGCACAACAAAGGACAGAAATGCTATGGACCTAACAGAAGCAGAAGATATTAAGAAGAGGTGGCAAGAATACACAGAAGAACTATACAAAAAAGATGTTCATGACCCAGATAACCACAATGGTGTGATCACTCACCTAGAGCCAGACATCCTGGAGTCCAGTCAAGTGGGCCTTAAGAAACATCATTACGAACAAAGCTAGTGGAGATGATGGAATTCCAGTTAAGCTGTTTCACATCCTAAAAGATGATTCTGTGAAAGTGCTGCACTCAGTATGCCAGCAAATTTGGAAAACTCAGCAGTGGCCACAGGACTGGAAGAGGTCAGTTCTCGTTCCAATCCCAAAGAAAGGCAATGCCAGAGAATTTTTAAACTACCACACAATTGCACTCACCTCACACACTAGCAAAGTAATGATCAAAATCATCCAAGCCAGGCTTCAACAGTATGTGAACCATGAATTTCCAGATGTTCAAGCTGGATTTAGAAAAGGCAGAGGAACCAGAGATCAAATTGCCAACATCCGCTGGATGATCAAACAGCAGGAGGGTTCCAGAAAAGCATCTACTTCTGCTTTATTGACTATGCCAAAGCCTTTAACTGTGGATCACAACAAACTGGAAAGTTCTTAAAGAGATGGGAAATACCAGACCACCTGACCTGCTTCCTGAGAAATCTGTATGTAGGTCAAGAAGCAACACTTAAAATCGGACATGGAACAATGGACTGGTTCCAACATTGGAAAGGAGTACATCAGGGCTGTATATTGTCACCCTGCTTATTTAACTTATATGCAGAAAGCAAAGAACTAAAGAGCCTCGTGATGAAAGTGAAAGAGGAATGTGAAAAAGCTGGCTTAAAACTCAACATTCAGAAAATGAAGATCATGGCATCTGGTCCCATCACTTCATGGCAAATAGATGGGGAAACAATGGAAACAGTGAGAGACTATTTTCTTGGGTGTCTAAATCACTGCAGATGGCGACTGCAGCCATAAAATTAAAAGACGCTTACTCCTTGGAAGAAAAGCTATGATAAACGTAGCTAGCACATTAAAAAGCAGAGACATTACTTTGCCAACAAAGGTTCTTCTAGTCAAAGCTGTGGTTTTGCCACGTATGGATATGAGAGTTAAACTATAAAGAACGCTGAGCACCAAAGAATTGATGCTTTTGAACTGTGGTGTTGGAGAAGACTCTTGAGAGTCCCTTGGACTGCAAGGAGATCCAACCAGTCCATCCTGAAGCTAATCAGTCCTGAATATTCATTGGAATGACTGATGCTGAAGCTGAAACTCCAGTACTTTGGCCACCTGATGCGTAGAACTGACTCATTTGAAAAGACTCTGATGCTGGGAAAGATTGAAGGCTGGAGGAGAAAAGGACAGAGGATGAAATGGTTGGATGGCATCACCGACTCGATGGACTTGAGTTTGAACAAGCTCTGGGAGTTGGTGAGGGACAGGGAAGCTTAGCATGCTGCAGTCCATGGAGTTGAAAAGAGTTGAACATGACTGAGCTACTGAACTGATGGGGTTTTAGGGAACAGATGAGAATTTGAGAGACTATATAGATGGGAAAACCATGAATAGGGAAAACTTGGAGATCAGATTATAATAAATACTTTAAAAAATATTCTAATGTGCGGTTAGCAGAATATATATGTAAAGAATATGACGTAGGCAATTGGAAATATAATCTAAGATTCAGGAAAGAGCCGAGGCATAGTGATAGAGATCTGTGAGTCACTTACTTAATGGTGAGTGTTGAAGCCATGGCAGCAGGAAAGGACGTTAGATGAGATCTTCCTTCATGGGGCCCTGATGCAATAAGTGGTAAAGTCGGAGTTGACTGCTTCTCAGTTTTGCCTTTAGATATATACTGCTCATGCCATTCAGTCATCTTTTGTGTCCTTTGTCTCGTGAGTTGCTGACCCCAAAATAGGTCAGGAGATGAGATTTGGAGTTCAGAGTGAAAAATCTGCAAAAAATATTTTCAAGAGTTTCTATAGAATCATATGATGGTATATTTTTCTCCAATAAATTTTACATGTTCAGAGAAACTCCTGATTGAATTTTTAGTTGACATTATATGATGTAGTAGTGTTTGACAACGTATGATGAAAGGGCTCCTGAGAGCAGAATTATCAACTGTACTTATACAATTTGGGGGGGCTTCCCTGGTGGCTCAGCGGTAAAGACTGCCTGCAGTGTGGGAGACCTGGGTTTGATTCCTGGATTGGGAAGATCTCCTGGAGAAGGGAATGGCAATCCACTCCAGTATCCTTGCCTGGAAAATTCCATGGACAGAGGAGCCTGGCGTGCTATAGTCCATGGGGTCATAAAGTATCAGACACGACTGAGTGACTAACACTTTCACTTTTGAGCCTTACTGTAGATCAGCTGAACCTGAATCTTTGTGGGTGAAGCCAGACTCCTCTAAGTTCCCAGAATTTGAAAATTACTGATCATACATAATGAAATTGCCACTTCATTAAGTTTAAAAACTGGAGTCCTTTTGGGATTGATGTTTTGATGACAGAGAATAAAGGAGGTATTAACTTCTCATTTGTAATCTTAAAAGAAATACTAACTTAAATTTACCTTTCTTTCAGTTGAGTGTGCGAGGAAAAAATAAAAAAGAGAAACTTGAAGATTTCTTTAAAAACATGGTTAAATCAGCAGATGGAGTAATTGTTTCTGGAGTAAAGGTAAGACACTATTGGGTTAAAAGAGGTACTGCTTTGAGAATTTTCTTCTTTTACAAGGGAGATACTTTGAGATTTTCCAATGTGTAGGCAGTTTTATTGGAATGAAAGAGAAGTTTGAATAGTAGACTTCTTAGGCCTGGGAAACTGGGCCGCTTGCCCTGAGTTCCCCTCTTCAGAGAGCTCCTTTCTCTAAGGGGTGATAGGTCTGCAGCTCCAAGGGGGTTTGCCAACCCAGAGCCCACACCCCTGTCCTCCAAACCAGACCATTCTCCTTACCTAGAAGCCCACATTTTTTTGCCGAAATTCCGAGCCTGCCTTCCAGTCCTGCCTGGACTTGAATTCGCCTGCTGGTGAGTAGACAGCGCCTCTGGTGGTCTGTCCTCCACAGGTAGTCAAGGAGAAGAGGGCCAGCAAGGGAAGAAGAGCGCTGTGCAGGGTGGAGTGGCTGTCCGGCCACGTGCACGTGAGGTCCTCTGGGTACCTTGCAGAGGCACAGGGTGGGGCGCCGAGGGGCTGCCTCAGTTTGTACACTTAGCCTTGGCTTTACAAATGTTAGGGGCCGACTTGGGTTCAGATTTGAAGTTAGAAGAGCTCAGTTGAAGTTTTGGTTTTGTCTCATAATAGCTATGTGACCTTGAGAAAAGTCACTTTCCTTTCTCTAAATCTCAGGTTTCCCATTTTGAAAATGTGGTTAGTAATGCTACCTAGCTACAGGATTGTTAGAAAGACTGAGTTAGATTTAGAAAGAAAGAGATGATAGGTATGCATATACTTACAATTACCTAGATAACACTTAGATTTTTCTTAATGATGGTCTGAAAATGGTACAAGAGTTGATTTTTCTGAAAATCTGTTACTATTAAAATATTGAAAAAAATGTTTATTGCAAAATGTATTTTCAAAGTTTATATAGAATCATGATGGTATATTGTACTCCAATAATAATATTATTAAGCAAATAATAAAGCAATAAATAATGCTTTATCATCATTGCTTATTTTTATAAAACAGGGTATACACTAAAACTACACTACACTAAAACTTGGGTGTAAAGTACTGTTTGATTTATACTTTGATTTTGTGGAGACAGGGCAGTTGATATGTTGACAGTGCATGTCCTGTGGCTACTTTAATAAAGAGTTGACATGGGAATTCCCTGGTAGTCTACTGGTTAGGACTCGGCGCTTTCACTGCCGAGGGCAGTGGGTTCAATCCCTGGTTAAGAAACTAAGACCCAAAAAAAAAAGAAAGAAACTAAGATCCCACAAACCATGCAGTGAGACCAAAAAAAGATTCAGGCTGTTTTGTTTTGTTTTTAGATTATTTCCATTTTGATGCTGCTTATGTTGAACTTTTTGATTAACATTAAGTATAAACCACTATTATTGATTATGATTTTGATAATTTTATTAAAGTAATAGCTGACATTTTTTTGAACATTCACAGTGTGGTGTTTCATAGCCCACATTTCATTAATCTTCACTACAACTCTGCAAGTTAGGTTTTTTTTTTTTTGCAAGTTAGTTTTATTTCTGTTTTTCCAGTAGACCTCACGTGTACTAGTTAAGAAAACTAGTACACATGAATTAACAGAGTTTAAGTCACATTTTGTCACACTAACTTTCACTATTATGTTCTGTTAATATGGGTCTCAAGTTACATCATTTCAGCTGGTGCTTTTTTCAGTAAACAATTGCTATTTTAGAAGGGAGAAAAGTAGTTCATTGTTTTTAGTTTTAATGGATTTCTAGCTTTGTTCCAAAAAAGATTGAAAACAGTGTTTAATACGAAAATTGCTCCCAGATAGCTAATTTGGCCAGGTTCCCGAAAGCAATCAGAGAGGGCCAATGGCTGAGGCTTGGCAGCATTCAGGAATGGTCCATAAAATGCATAACAGACCAAGAGAAGCAGATTTCTACTTGTCTGCCAGGCTTTTTTTTCCTTTTTTTTCTCAAAAGCAATTGATTGCTCCCACTGCAAGAAATAAATGTGTTGAAGAAGCAGGATTGTAGTGGAAGAGCACAAGCTGGAATAGGTTCGAGTACAACATGGGAGCCTGGACCATATGGGACCATAAGCCTTCTGCTGTAGAAGACTTCTTACTTGATAGAGAGAAGTTTTTGAAGTTTGAACTTGTTTTGAACTTGTTGGTGAAATCAATATAATGTCTAATTATTAGCAGATGGCTATGCTGTTAAATGATGATCTTTTATGATTATAAGGGTAGCAAAGTGATTTATATGTTAGATTAAAGCAAATAAGTGAAAAAAGCTCATATTTTCTTTTGATCCCATAGGATGTAGATGATTTCTTTGAGCATGAACGAACATTCCTTTTAGAATATCATAACCGAGTTAAGGATGCATCTGCTAAATCTGATAGGATGACAAGATCCCACAAAAGTAAGGTTTTTCTCTGTGGCTCAAGTTTACATTGTTTAATGGAATAATTATCAAGTTGTTATGTTATTTACAGTTTGTAAAAGTCTTGATATAGGGCAGTGATTTTCAAACTATGGTCTATGAAGCTTTGATCTCAAGGCTCTTTTAAGCAAGTCTGTGAGATAAAAACTATTTTCATAATAATACTAGGATGATTTTTTGTCCTTTTCACCATGTTGACATTTACACCAACGATGCAAAAGCCGTGGTGGATAAATTGCTGGTGTCTTAGAACAACTTTCACTTTCTCTAGGATAAATCAAAGCAGTGGCACCAAGCTGTACTAATACTAATAGTCTTTGTACTCTTTCCCACAGTACATTCAAAATTTTAAAAATTCAGTTAAGAATGTCCTTGATGAAGCAGTGAAATTTATTACTTGTTGAAAGTCTCCTCCCCTTTTAATATTCTGAATGATGGATTGGGAGGTATGCATAAAGCACTTTGCATATGGATATATGATGGTTCTTTCTAGAAAAGCAACTGAGTTGCAACTGAACTGTCTGCTTTTTTTCAATACCATTTTTACTTGAAAGAACAACTGACAGACAAGCTGCTATTTTGCAGACTTGTGTTTTGGTAGACATTTTATCAAAAATTAATTAAATGAGCCTCACACTTCATGGAAAACTACTGGCAGTGTTTGTTGACAATGATAAAAATCAAGCTTTCCAGTAATTATTAGAATCTTGGAAAACTTGTATCAGTCACCATGAGTTTGCTTTTCAGTAATTAAAGACTTGTCTGAGGAGATTGATGGTGATATTACTGAGTGTGATACTTTTTATATACTGAAGTGCATCTGCATTTGGAAGATCTGTGTGATTCATTGAACCAGTATTTTCTAAATGATCAAAATCATATTAAGTACACCATAGACTAATGGTTTTTTTTAACAGCTGTATTGAAGTGTAATTGATATCAATAAGCTGCAATGTTCAAAGCTTACAATTGGATAAGTTTTGACACATGTATGACATCATCACTAGAGACAGCATAATGAACATGTCCATCACCACACACAGTCCCCTTGTGGCCATTCGTAATCCTTCCATCCTGTCCTTGTCCCCAGGCCACTGCTGATAATGCTTTCTGTCGAGTTGTATATAAATGAAATCCTACAATATGTACTTTTTATGGTCTGGCTTTGAAATTCAACAAAATTAGTTTGAGTTTCATCCATGTTGTTGTATGCATCAGTAGTTGATTCTGTTTTATTGCTGACTGATATTCCATTGTATAGATACACCACAGTTGTCTATTCAGCAGTTGGTGGACAATTGGATTGTTGCTAGCTTTCACCCGTTCAAAATAAAGTTGACATATGTAAGTCTTTGTATGAACATATGCTTTCATTTCTCTTGGGTAGTACCTAGAAGTAGAATGACTGGGTCAAATGTAAGTGTATAATTAACTTTTTTTAAAAAAATTGCCAAACATTTTTGCAAAATGATTGTATCATTCTGCATTCTTACCCGCTGTGCACGAGAATTCCAGCTGCTTCATATCCTCACTAACAAAGTCATCCTTAAATTTTATCCATTCTGCTAGGCCAGTGTGGTTTTAATTTTAGTGATTGATGATATTGAACTTCTTTTCTTGTGTAAGTCTTTCAACTTTATTCTTCTTTATCAAAGTTGTTTTGGCACCTCTAGGTTCTTTATTTTTTCAGATGGATTTTAGAATTAGCTCATCACTTTCTACAAAAATGCCTGCTGGGATTTTTTATTGGAATTGTGTAGAATATAGATCAATTTGAGGAGGATTAAGATCTCAAAAGTATTGGTTCTTTTGATACATGAACAGGGTATATCTCTGTTTACTTTGGTCTTCTCTCAGCAATTTTTTGTAGCTTCCTTTGTAAAGTTCTTATACATCTTTAGTTAGCTCTCTGTTTTTTGATGTGATTCTAAACGATGTATTTTTTACATTTCACTTTCTAGTTTTTTTGCCAATATATAGAAATACATTGTATTTTCAGCATTGAGCTTATATCTTGCAGCCTTTCTAAATCAACTCACTTATTAGTTTATTAACTATTTTGTAGATTCCTTAGCATTTTCTATATAAATGGTCATCTGCAAATAAAAACAGTTACACTTCTTCCGTTCCAGTTGGAATGATGTTTATCTCTTTTCCTTGCCTACTATACTATAGCTTACCCTCTAGTACCATGTTGGTAAAAGTGGTGAGGGCAAGCAGTTTGACCTTGTTCCTAATCTTATGGGGAAAGCATCCATCTTAATTGTGATGTTAGATATAGGTTTTTCCTAGATGCCTTTTAGCAGGTTTAAGTCAGGAATGAATGTTGGATTTTGTCAGATGCTCCTTTTGCAACAATTAAGATAACCATACAATCTTTATTTTTTTAGTCTGTTAATATGGTTAATCGAATCGATTGATTTTCAGTTACTAAGCCAATCTTATATTCTTGGGATGAATATCACATATCATTGGAGTTTAATGTGATAGAGAACACAGACTTCATTGATAGGACTTTAGGTTCCCCAGTGTGACTCACCCTTAAAGAAACTACTGCTTGTTGAGTAGAGTATCCACAGTTATCTGAAAATATTAGTAAAATGCCTCCTGCTTTTCCAGTGACATACCTGTTTGAAGCTAGATTTTTTTTCCCCACATACTTGAGCAAAAATCTTGTGTCACAGTACAGTAAATGCAGAAGCAGATAAGAGAATGGAGCTATTGACTATTAATCCAGACCCACAAAAGAGATTTGCAAAAATCCAAGTGTCACCATGCTAATTGATTTTAAATATTTTTCATTTAAATATTATGTTAACATATAATGGTTTTAATACTGTTATTTTAAAATAGTAAATATTAACACTGTACTTTCAGGGATCGTTTCTATTGTTTGTTACTCTAGAAGTTTCTCTGAACGTGTAGAGCACCGGAAACCACGAGGAGACACACTTCACACAGCATTCTCTCCTCAGTGCGAAGCCGGCTCGTGGTGTTGGCTTCTGCAGTTGCTATTTGCTGTTGATGATTGTTCTCCTCCTCCTTTGGAAGAGAATGCTGTCTGAGTGGTTTCCTTAAGAACAAAAAAAAGCAAATACTTATTTTTTTTTGTTTTACTTTTAAAAAAATAACCCTTTGTACTGTACAGTGCTATAGACCCAGAAGTCTCTGAATATTCTTTGCTCTTGAATGTCTCCCTGGTCTTTTTCCAGGCCCTTCTCTTTATTTAGGATGCTCTTTCCTCCACTTTGCCTAGGAAAGATTTCTTCACCCTGCAAGCTCCAACTGCTGCTGTAGTGTCTGTAAATCCTTCCCTGACGTCCTCAGGTGGAATATGTGTTTCCCCTGCTCCTTAAGTAGTTTATAGCTACTTCCAGTTCCATATTCATCATAATGTAGTATAGTTTGTGTCATTTCTTTCTCTAGACTTCGGTATCTCATATTACATACACATTTTTTGGCAGGTACGTATTCAGTAACTTTTTAAATCCATGAATAAATATATTAAATCCTTAAAACTTTTTCCATAGGTGCTGCAGATGATTACAATAGAATTGGTTCTTCATTATATGCTTTAGGAACTCAGGATTCTACAGATATATGCAAGTAAGGATTCTGATTTAAAACATTAAATAAAACAAAATTTTTGTTGACAGCTCGGGCACACACACTTCTGACCCAGCAGGCGTTTTGGAATATTTTTGTCAAAACACATTGACAGTATAGAGCTTCTTTATAAACTTAGGTTGGTGTTATTTTTCTCTTCCTTTTCTCTCTTACTTTTTTAAATCCGAGAAATAAAAATCGACCTTAGTATAACATTTACAGTGTTTTAGTTGATGAAAATTTGCCAATTTGGGTGTGTGAGAGAGAAACAGAATTTATATTAAAATGTTCTTAGATTTTGATAAAGTTTATTTTAAATATGAAATGCTATTTTAGAATTAGAATATATATATTAATATATATTGTGTTGGAGGCCAAGTTTTAATCTTTGGCTACCTGATGCAAAGAACTGACTCACTGGAAAAGACCCTGATATTGGGAAGGATTGAAGGCAGGAAGAGAAGGCGACGACAGAGGATGAGCTGGTTGGATGGCGTCATCAACTCACTGGACATGAGTTTGAGCAAGCTCCAGGAGTTGGTTCTGGACAGGGAAGCCTGGTGTGCTGCGGTCCATGAGGTCACAAAGAGTCAGACACGACTAAGCAACTGAACTGAACTGAAGTTTTAATCTAGCCATAAATCTTAGTTGCTAGTGTAATGTTGTTTAAACTTAACTCTCTGTTGAAAATAGCTCAGACGTACTTTTAAAATTATAAGAGGAAAAGCTGTGTTCATAGTCGTGCCCTTCTCTAAACCACGTCCTTGAACTTTTCTCTCATATATCCTGTCTCAGTGGACATGTCAGATCAGATTTCTCAGCAAAGCAGGGTACCATAGCCTACTAATTAACTAATTAACATGCTACCTTCCCAAAGAGTTGGTTCTTAAGTCTTTGATAAGGAAAAAAAGGCGCCTTGCCATATGTTATCTTACATGAACCTGTCAAAGCAAGTTCTTTTTAGTAAAGTGAAGTTCATAAAATTCAGCTCTCAATAGTATATGCCCTAATCCAAATATAACATTGTCTGTCATATTTTACAGAATGCCCTTTAATAGTTTGGCATTGGGATATATTTTTAGTTGGCATCAGCATTTGAAAGATGGACTTTCTAGTTAAAAATGACAGTGGGGACTTCCTGGTGGCCCAGCGGTTAGGGTTCGGGCTTTCACTGAGGTGGCCCCGGTTCAGTCCCTGGTCAGGAACATCCTGCAAGCTGCAAGTGTAGCCCCCCCACCCCCCCAAAAGTAAAAGTGAATTCTGAAATAGAAGTTGGCTATTTGTTTCTATTGTTTTCCGAAACAAAGCAGCTCTATTTGAAAATATTTAAAATGTAGTTCTTTGGATGTGATTGTTCCATACTTCTGTAGTAATTTAAAGGAATAGACCTTATTTAATATTATGCAGCATATTGCTAAAGGATATCAAGACAAAGGTGTTTTTTTTTTTTAATATTTATTTAATATATTTATTTGGCTGCACTGGGTCTTAGTTGTGGCGTGTGGGATCTAGGTCCCTGACCAGGGATTGAACCTAGGCCCTTGCATTGGAAGCATGAAGTCTTAACCACTGGACCACCAGGGAATTCCCAAGACAAAGTTTTTAATGTATGGCTTAGGCTGTTACCTTGAAATGGGAGGATTTTCTATAACAGTACATCAAGGGGAATCTGTTACATGGGTGCTTGTACAAAGAAAGATTTTTGTTGACCTAGATGAAGTCTGCAGTGAAAAAAATCATTAAATATTACTGTAATGAGATAAGAATGTTCATTATTAATATGGTTTGGGGTATGTTCTTTGAACATTTGCAATAGAAGATTATTTCAAAGATAGCTTATGATGAAATATTTTTCCCTTTCAGGTTTTTTCTTAAAGTTTCAGAACTGTTTGATAAGACAAGAGTAAGTATTATTAATTAACCTTTGGGAGTATAAATGTCTACACACAATGGTGTTTAACTTGTTGGACTGTGTTTAGCTTTATTGAGGAAGATGAATTATACTTTAGAAGAATGAAGAGGCAGAATTAGATTTGAAAATAATGAGTTTTTCAGGAAATTCTCTTTTTGTTGTGGTGTAAAAGTTCAAATTCTTGATCAGAAAATGTGTTCAGTAGGAAACTGGGTTTATTTTTATGAAAAAATCATTTTTTCTTGGGGGTTTTGTAAGCTAGAAGAAAACCTTGGATTCACTATAACTTTACCAAGATTATTGTTTTTGATCCCCCATGACATACTGAGTTAAAAGTGAGTTGTATCAGTGTAAAGCAAATATATAACTGCATGAAGTTTTCATTCATAATTTAATACTGATACAGTCTTGGTTATCAGGGTTGTGTTTATTTATAATCACTATGATCGTTAAATAACATTTAACGTTTTTATAAATTGATAGAATAGTGAAAATGTTTACTATATGTTTGATGGTACTTAGCTAATTAAGTAGAGAAGGCAATGGCACACCACTCCAGTACTCTTACCTGGGAAATCCCACGGACAGAGGAGCCTGGTAGGCTACAGTCCACGGGGTTGTGAAGAGTCGGACTCGACTGAGCGACTTCACTTTCCCTTTTCACTTTCATGCTTTGGAGAGAGAAATGGCAGCCCACTCCAGTATTCTTGCCCAGAGAATCCGAGGGACAGAGGAGCCTGGTGGGCTGCCGTCTATGAGGTCGCACAGAGTCGGACACGACTGATGCGACTCAGCAGCAGCTAATTAAGATTGGTGGTGGCTAGTCCATTGTAGAAGTCTGGTTTCATCATGATCTTGTCAACTGAGCTATGTGTGGTGAAGACAAGTAGAAAAACATAATATTCTCTGCCAAAGGAACAAGTTCTTAAATACATAAATGTTATACTGGGGTCCATATAGCTCATTATTCTGCCTTTGATATTTATACCAGTGAGCATTTTCTGGAAAGATACAGTAGTTTTCTTGAGTCTATGCATTTACATCAAAAGAATAGGGATCTATCACAAAATAGCCTTATGTGCCAGTTCTTTCAAAAGCGGATGTAAAGATGGGATTAGATGCATAAGAGATTTATTGTGAAAAGCAAAAAGGAAGGAGCAGGAGTAGACAGGAGGAGGCTTCAGATGATAGTGCTGGCCTGCACCAGGAAAGGAGAGGGAGAGGAAAGAGGACTGGCTAGGCAGGGTTTCAGACTTCAGCATAGTTCTAAGAAAGCTTCATCCAGGTTACAGGGGAGCCCCTAAGCCAGAGCTGCCCGTTAGAGGAGTTCTGCGTCAGGCAAAAATGGGCTGGGTGGGAAGGATAGAACATAACTTTGGTGTGAACATGATTCCAGATCCAGAGATACTGCAGTTGGGGCTATTAGCCAGCCAGCTATACTCCTTGCAACAAGCATTTCTCTTGACCGAGGTTCGGGTGGCACATTTTGATAACCCCCAAATTCTTATTTCCGTTAGCATGTGCATGGTGTTCTGGTTACTATGACTGTGTTACAAATCATCCTAAAATCAGTAGCTTTAAACAGTAACCATTTGGTTAAGCCAGTGAACTCTGGTTCAGGAAATCAGAAAGGGTGCAGCAGAGATGGTTGCCTCTGCTCCATGATGTACCTCCACAGGAATGTTATGAAGGCCAGGGCCTGGAATCATCTGAAGGCTCTATCATTCCTGTGTCCGAGGGTTGATACTGGCCAACAGCTGGAACTTCTGCTAGGGCTGTTGGCTGTAACACCTACATGTGGCTTTCCCATGGAGCTGCTCAGGCTTCTTCACAGCATGGTAAAGAGGTCCCAAAAGTGAGCATCCCAAATGATGGGAAGAGGAAGCTAGGGCCTGGAAACTGGTGTGGGATCATTCCTTTATTGGCCAAGCAGTCTTAGAACCCAGATTCAAAGAAAGAGGACACACACCCTATTTCTTAATGGCAGGAGAGGAGCCCCATTTAAAAGCACCCAATATTAACTAGCATATCAGGAAGTTAAGTTTGTTTCTCGAGAAAGTTTTTTCTAACTTTTTATTAAAGTATACTATACATGTAGAAAAAAGCACATAACAGAAACGCACAGCTCAGTGAAATGTTACTATTTCACACACCCATGTAATGAATACCCAGATCAAGAAGTGGAGCATTACAGCAATTCAGGTGCCCGAGTCCCCCTTCAGCTAGCTGCCTTCTGAGTCACCACCTCCTGCAAGACTAACCACTGTCCTAGCTTCTAACAGCAAAAATTAGTTTTATTTTCACATCTTACATAAATACATATGCAGTATATATTCTTTGTCTGGTTTCTTTTAATTATTGTTATATACATGAGATTCATTGGTGTTGCATGTAGGTATAGTTCCTACATTCTTATTGCTGTATTGTTTTCCATTGCAAGAATACACCTAACCTTATTATTTGTTTTACTGGTGGGCATTTGGATAGTTGCCAGTTTGAGGTACTTTACACAGAGTACTATTAAGACCCTTTTTTATTTATCTTCAGCTGAACATAAGTATACATTTCTGCTGGATGTATGTAACTTGGAGAAGTGATGACTGGTAGGATACCCATGTGAAAAACTTTTGTAGGTGAACTGTTTCCCAAAGTGATGGTGTCAGCTTACATTCCCACCAGAATGAACGTGAGCATTGGGCTGCTGCACAGGGTTGTAATATTTGGTATCTTTTTTTACTTTAGCTGTTCTGGTGGATGTATAGAAGTTTTTTTTTTAAACAACAATTTCTGAATTACATTGCAAGAATAGTATGAAGAATTCCTGTACATGTGTCACCCAGATTTCCTTTCCTTTTGTTATTGTTCAGTCACTAAGTCTTGTCCAACTCTGTGACCCCATGAACCTGCAGCAAGCCAGGCTTCCCTATCCATCACCATATCCTGGAGTTTGCTCAAACTCCTGTCCATTGAGTTGGTGATGCCATCCAACCATCTCATCCTCTGTTGCCCCCTTCTCTTGCCATCAGTCTTTCCCAGCATCAGGGTCTTTTCCAGTGAGTCAGCTCTTTGCATTAAGTGGCCAAAGTATTGGAGCTTTAGCTGCAGCACCAGTCCTTTCAATAAATATTCAGGGTTGATTTCTTTAGGATTGACTGGTTTGATCTTGGCACTTCAAGGGACTCTCGAGAGTCTTCTCCAGCACCATAGTTCCAAAGCATCAATTCTTTAGCGCTCAGCCTTCTTTATAGTCCAACTCTCACATCCATACATGACTTCTGGAATAATCATAGCTTTGACTAAATGGACCTTTGTTGGCAAAGCAATGTCTCTGCTTTTTAATACACTGTCTCGGTTTGTCATAGCTGTTCTTCTGGGGAGCAAGCGTCTTCTAATTTTGTGGCTGCATTCACTGTCTGCGGTGATTTTGGAGCCCAAGAAAACAAAATCTGACACTGTTTCCACTTTTTCCCCATCTATTTGCCATGAAGTGATGGGGCCAGATGCCATGATCTTAGTTTTTTTAATGTTGAGTTTTAAGCCAGGTTTTCCACGCTCCTCTTTCACCCTCATCAAGAGGCTCTTTAGTTTCTCTCCACTTTCTGCCATTAAAGTGATATCATCTACCTATCTGAGGTGGTTGCTATTTCTCCCAGCAGTCTTGATTCCAGCTTGTGATTCATCCAGCCCAGCATTTTGCATGATGTACTGTGCATGGAAGTTAAAAAAGCAGGTGACAGTGTCCAGCCTTGACGGGCTCCTTTTCCAGTTTGAACTTGTCCATTGTTCCATGTCCAGTTCTGATTGTTGCTGCTTGTCCTGCATACAGATTTCCTTAATGCTAACATTTTCTGCATTAAAGTTATTTTATTCCAAAAAGTCCATATTTATTGGTTTTTGCCCTTTGTGTACATTTCTCTCTCTTCTAAAAATAAGAAGCAGTTTTTAAAATTTATTTTTTAATTTAAGGATGATTGCTTTACAGAATTTGTTGTTTCCTAAGAATCATTTTTTTTTTCATTTATTTTTATTAGTTGGAGGCTAATTACTTTACAATATTGTAGTGGTTTTTGCCATACATTGACAAGAATCAGCCATGGATTTACATGTGTTCCCCATCCTGAACCCCCCTCCCACCTCCCTCCCCATCCCATCCCTCTGGGTCATCCCAGTGCACCAGCCCCGAGCACTTGTCTCATGCATCCAACCTGGACTGGTGATCTGTTTCACACTTGATAATACATGTTTCGATGCTGTTCTCTCAGATCATCCCACCGTCGCCTTCTCCCATAGAGTCCAAAAGTCTGTTCTATACATCTGTGTCTCTTTTTCTGTCTTGCATATAAGGTTATCATTACCATCTTTCTAAATTCCATCTATATGTGTTAGTATACTGTATTGGTGTTTATCTTTCTGGCTTACTTCACTCCGTATAATGGGCTCCAGTTTCATCCATCTCATTAGAACTGATTCAAATGTATTCTTTTTAATGGCTGAGTAATATTCCATTAAAAATATGGAACGCTTCAGGAATTTGCGTGTCATCCTTGCGCAGGCGCCATGCTAATCTCTGTATTGTTCCAATTTTAGTATATGTGCTGCCGAACCTAGCACCTAAGAATCAATTTTAATGTAGCAGGATGATTATCAGTGATTCTCCTTAGTGTCATCAGTATCTGTTTCACAGATGTTCCCAGTTATCTTATAAGTGGCTTTTCGCAGTGGACTTTCTTTGAGTCAGGATCCAAATGAGGTTCCCATATTAGATTTGGTTGACATAATACATTCTTTATCCTCTGTCTCTTGAGAGTGAATGAAGAGTTCTCATCTTTTTAGTCTGACATGGCTGCTTCCCACTTTACCTCACCTCAGACTAACCACACTGCTTTAGTTTTTGTGTTTTTTTTTTTTTTACTTTTACTCTTTGGTATTTTCAGGCACATTTTGTTAATCTTTTAATGTTGTTTTGTGGCTGTCTGCAGCAGGGGGATTGGTTTGAATTACCTAGTCCATTACTACTGCCAGCCTCTTATTACTTTATAGTCATGTGTATATATCAGTTGCTATTAAAATGAATAGAAGAGTACAGGTAAACCTAAAAGATGATATTGAAACAGCCAAGAACTTGAGTCAAATATAGAGTCCTTCCATAAATTCACTAATCTCATTTGATCTCATCATTTTTCTGTTAATTTTTTTTTGTCAGTTACATACAAAGACAACTAACAGGCTCATAGAAAGAATGGAAGGAAACTTAGCTTAAATAGGAATTGATACTGTAGTTACTTATAACTTAAATTTTTTAATTCATTTGTTTTTCTTTTTAAAAATTTGTTTATTTTAATTGGAGGCTAATTACTTGACAGTATTGTGGTGGTTTTTGCCGTACATCGACATGAATCAGCCATGGGTGTACACGTGTCCTCCCATCCTGAACCCCCTCCCGCCTCCCTTCCCACCCCATCCCTCGGTTGTCCCAGAACACCAGCTTTGGGTGCTGTGCGTCTTGCTTTGAACTCGCACTGGTCATCTGCTTTACATATGGTAATATATATGTTTCAGTGCTAATAGCTCAAGTTGGCCCACCCTCACCTTCTCCCACAGAGTCCAAAAGTCTGTTCTTTACGTCTGTCTCTTTTGCTGTCGTGCATATATGGTCATTGTCAACCATCTTTCTAAATCCATATATATGCGTTAATATACTGTATTGGTGTTTCTACTTCACTCTGTATAATAGGCTCCAGTTTCATCTACCTCATTAGAACTGACTCAAATGCATTCTTTTTTATAGCTGAGTAATCCATTGTGTATATGTACCACAACTTCCTTATCCATTCATCTGCTGATGGGCATCTAGGTTGCTTCCATGTCCTGGCTATTGTAAACAGTGCTGCAATGAACATTGGAGTTCACATGTGTCTTTCAGTTCTGGCTTTCTTCATGTGTATGCCCAGTAGTGGGATTGCTAGGTTGAATAGCAGTTACATTTACAGTTTTTTAAGGAATCGCCACACTGTTCTCCATTGTGGCTATACTATAATTTTCATTCCTACCAACAGTGTAAGAGGGGTTCCCTTTTCTCCACACTCTCTCCAGCATTTATTTTCATAGACTGATGGCAGCCTTTCTGACCGGCATGAAATGGTACCTCATTGTGGTTTTGATTTGCATTTCTCTGATAATGAGTGATGTGGAGCATCTTTTCACATGTTTGTTAACCATCTCTATGTCTTCTTTGAAGAAATATCTGTTTAGTTCTATTGGCCCATCTTTTGATTGGGTCATTTATTTTTCTGATATTGAGCTACATGAGCTGCTTGTATATTTTGGAGATTAATTCTTTGTCAGTTGTTTCGTTTGCTCTTATTTCCTCCCATTCTGAATGCTGCCTTTTCACCTTGCTTATAGTTCTCTTTGTTGTGCAAAAGCTTTTAAGTTTAACTGGGCCCCATTTGTTTATTTTTATTTCCTTTACTCTGGGAGGTAGGTCATAAAGGATCTTGCTGTGATTTATGTCAGAGAGTGTTCTGCATATATTTTCATCTAAGAGTTTTATAGTTTCTGGTCTTACATTTAGATCGTTAATCCATTTTGAGTTTATTTTTGTGTATGGTATAACTTTAATTTTTTTTTACAATAATTAAGAAAGTACTGAGTGTAGAATGTAAGTACTGATCAAATACTTATTTTTTTTTTCCTATTTTAGAAAATAGAAGCACGAGTGTCAGCTGATGAGGACCTCAAACTTTCTGACCTTTTAAAATATTACTTAAGAGAATCCCAAGCTGCTAAGGTAATTTTATTCATTGTTTTTTAAAATGGACTGCTTTACAGAAACCCATCATCTCCTTAAAAGTCGTTAGACTTAAGATGGTTTAAGATGACTTATCTCTTGATTTTAAATTATAAAGTCTCCTCTACTAACTTCTGATACAGTTTGTCTGGAACTTTTCTTTGAATTTGGTATATTTAGCCAGGTGAAATACCCGCAAAGACAAAAGGAAAACACCCAAATAACAGTCGTACAGCTAGAGGATCCCGAGTTTGGCCTAAGTCCTCTGTTGCAGGTGTCTGCTCAGTCGTGTCCAACTCCTCATGACTGCATGGACTGTAGCCCGCCAGGCTCCTCTGTCCATGGGATTTTCCCAATAAGAATACTGGAGTGGGTTGCCATGTCCTCCTCCAGGGGACCTTCCCAACCCAGGGATCAAACCCACGTCTCCTGTGTCTCCTGCATCGCGGGCAAATTCTTTACCACTGAACCACCAGGGAAGCCCTCTGTTGAGGGTGAAAGAGTCATAAAACAAGGATATGTTTTATTTTAAGGCATCTCAAATTTCCTTTTGGAAATCTGTCCATGTGTAAAACTAAAACTCTTACTAATCAAGAAAATGTTTAACAAAAACTTCTAAAAGCACTGAAATCTTAGTGACTCAGATACTCCAATTCAGTGTTAATTTATGAATTGAGATGTACAGAAAATTCCCATCTGGTCACTGGTGCTTTGAATACCCTTCTTTTATTTCTCATCAAATTATAAATAACCCTTTTAACTATGAGGATTTAAGTACTTGCAGATATACTGTCCATATTGAATTTGTTTTAAATCAGATTGTGTATTATGAACTACTTAACATTAGTTGGGCAGGGTTAAAATAAATTGTTCACTTTTGAAGACTTATTATTATAATATGTAATTGTTTGTAATGTATTCATAAAAGGGAAGGCTGCTCAACCAGTAGAAAGGAATAAGCTATGCATATATACAACAAGATGGGTTACTCTCAAAATAATTTTGCTGAATGAAAGAAGCCCAACAGTAAAGACTGCAGTTTATATTAATGTTCACTCTTGGTGTTGTACATTCTGTGGATTTGGACAAGTGTGTAGTGCCACAAGTATACAGAATAGTTTTCCTGCCCACAAATCCTGTGTCCCATCTGTTCATTCGCCTTCCTCCTAACACTTTTTGATACTTTAATTGCCTCTGTAGTTTTTCCCTTTTCCAAAATAACATATTGTTGGGTCTTTTCATATTGGTTTCTTCACTTGGTAACGTGCGTTTAAGTTTCCTCTCTGCTTTTCAGGACTTGGTGGCTCTTATCTCTTTAGCAGTTAATAGCCTCTGTCCATCAAGTTTGTTTATCCACTACCCTTACTGAACGGTTGCTTCTGAGTTTTGGCAGTTATGAGTACAGCTGCTATAAACACCCATGTGCAGGTTTTTGCGTGAACATAAGTTTTCAACTCCTTTGAGTAATAAACAGCAAGGAGGGTAATTGCTAGACCATATGATAAGAGTATGCTCTGTCAAACTGTCTTTCAAAGTGGCTGTATCATTGCATTCCCACCAGAATGAATGAGAATTCCTGTTGCTTAACATCCTCACCAGCAATTGGTATTATCACTATTATAGATTTTGGCCATTCTAACAAGGCGTGTAGTGATACCTTGTTCTAATCTGCATTTCCCGGATAACATTTGATGTGAAGCATCTTTTCACAAGCTTATTTGCCATCTCTGTGTCTTTGATGAGCTACCTGTTTAAAAAAAGAGTTATTTGTGTATTCTGAACTGTCAGGGAAAGAAAAGTGTTAGTCGCTCAGTCGTGTCTGACTTTTTGTGACCTCATGGACTGTAGCCTGTCAGGCTCCTCTGTCCATGGAGATTCTCCAGGCAAGAATACTGGAGGGAGCAGCCATTCCCTTCTTCAGGGGGTCTTCCCAATCCAGGAATTGAACCCGGGTTGCCTGCATGCCAGGCAGATTCTTTATCATTTGAGCCATCGGGGGAGCCCCCAAGTGCACATCCAAACCATGGTGTTCTACCGCTTCACACCCAGCAGGTAGCTCTAGTCAAAACGACAACAGTGTTGACAGGAATGTGGAGAAGTGAGGCCCCTCATATAGTTTTGGTGGAAAAATGTGAATGGTGCAGTCACTTTGAAAGTAGTCTGGCATTTTCTCAAGAGGTTCAACATAGAGTTACAAGGTGACCCTGCAATTCTCCTTCTAAATAATGAGCTGTGAAAGAGAAGTGAAACATGAAAACACGTCCACAGAAAAGCTTAAACACACAAGTTCGTAACAGCATTTTTATGAAATAGCCAAAAAGTTGAAACAAACCGAATCTTTTAACTGATGAATACATCAATCAATGTGGTATGTCTATACAGTGAAATATTTAGCAGTAAAAGGTATGAAATACTGACTCATGCTACAAATAGATGAACTTGAAACTTTATGCTAAGTGAAAAAGCCAGACGGGAGTTCCCTGCCAGTCCAGTGGTTAGGACTCTGCTCTTTCACTGCTGAGGGCCCAGGTTCAGTCCCTGGTCAGAAAACTAAGATCCCACAAGGCAAGCAGCCAGAGAAGGAAGAAAATGAATAAAAGCCAGGCACAAAGGCCACATGTGAAATGATTCCTTTAAGAAATCTCTTTATTTGGCTGTGCTGGGTCTTGGGCTTTTCCCTAGTTGTGGCGGTTGCGGCTCCTCTCTCCTTGGGGTGCACGGACTTCTCCTGGTGCTGGTTTCTCCTGGAGAGCACGGGCTGTCCAGCGGACACGCTTCAGGAGTCCTGGCTCCCGGCTCGAGGGCACAGACTCAGTAGTTGTGGCACGTGGGGTGGTTGTCTTACGACATGTGGGATCTTCCCCGATCAGGGAGGGAAACCATATCTCTTGCATTGGCAGGCACATTTTTTACCCGTGAGCCACCAGGGAAGCCCAGGATTCCTTTTTTAATGAAATGTCCAAAATAGGCAAATCTGTAGAGACAGCAGATGAATAGTTGTCCATGACTCGGGGTGGGGGCTGTGGGAGGAAATGGAGAGTGACTGCCAATGGATATGAGATTTATTTTTGGGTGACAGATGTTCTAAAATTGAGTGTAGTGATGGGTACACAACTCCATGTGCATACTAACCATTGAATTGTGCTCTTTAAATGGGTAAATTATATGGTGATATGAGTTATACTTCAGTAAAGCTGTTACCAAAAAACTGTAGAAGAGTAACTGACCTGTGGCATTCAGGGTGTGTTAGCTCCGATGATGGTTGTTGGGGTCGGGGAGGGAGGTTGGCAGCAGCTACTAGACACAGCAGCATATGTTATCATGAAGCATTCTGTTTTATAGGATCTCCTCTATCGAAGATCTAGGTCATTAGTGGATTATGAAAATGCCAATAAAGCACTGGATAAAGCAAGAGCAAAAAATAAAGATGTTCTGCAGGCTGAAACATCCCAACAGTTATGTTGTCAGAAATTTGAAAAAATATCTGAATCTGCAAAACAAGGTACTCTTATATTAACCTTTAATCATCAGGTATGTTTTACACTGTTACACAAGTAGTTAATCCTAATTTGTTTTGTTCACAGAACTTATAGATTTTAAGACAAGAAGAGTTGCTGCATTCAGAAAAAATTTAGTGGAACTGGCAGAGTTAGAACTGAAGCATGCAAAGGTAGTGTCATACTAAAGATTTAACAATTTAAGTGACTTAAAATTTAGAAATGAGTCTGTTCTGATACTTTATACTAATTTTAAAAATAGGAAATCTTAGACTTGAGAGGGATTTTAAAAATTTATCTAATTTCAGCAAGAATAGTATCTGCAGTGTCTCTAATGGTCAGCTCTGCAAGACTCTAGTACCTAATATGGAGAAACAGTATCATTTTTTGACTAGTTAAAAAAATAAATTTTCTTTATCCTACTGTCATTGGTCATTTAAAATACTATACACCGAAATACTTTTGCATGTGTGAAATGATTATTGTACACATTTCTTGTTGCAGCGCATTTTTTTAATTGAAGTATATAGTTGATTTAGAATGTTATGTTGAGATCAGGTGTACAGAAAAGTGATTCAGTTATATACATATATGTATATATTCTTTTTCAGATTCTTTGCCATTATAGGTTATTACAGAATATTGAGTATAGTTCCCTGTGCTATACAGTAGATCCTTGTTGTTTATTTTATAGATAGTAGCGTGTATATGTTCCCTTGTGGCTCAGCTGGTAAAGAATCCGCCTGCAATGCGAGAGGCCTGGGTTTGATCCCTGGATTGGGACGATTCCCTGGAAAAGGGAAAGGCTACCCACTCCAGTATTCTGGCCTGGAGAATTCCATGGGCTGTATAGTCCATGGGGTCACAAAGAGTTGGACACAACTGAGCAAGTTTCTTTTTTTTTTCTGAGCAACTTTCAAAAAAAAGTGTATATGTTACTCTCAAATTCATATTTTTGTGGTAAATAACATAAAATTAACCATTTTTAAATGTAAAGTTTGAGTAGTGTTAAATATATTCACGTTGTTGTACACTGGATCTCTAGAACTTATTCATTTATTGAGCATTTATTTTAAAAGTGTAATTGCAGGCCACATGTGTGTCCGTTAAATTTTAGCTTGCTAATCGTAGCCCAGCTCATTGAGATCTTTTGGAAACTTGGGTTTGATCATGTAGTATTTGACTGTTACACTAGTTTTTCCTGTCAGTTGTTTGATATTTGCAGTTTGCATGAACTTCCTTTTTATGTCTTCATCTAAGTTTTGATTTAAAAGGTTGATCAGGATTAAATGAAGCAGTGTTTGTTAATCTAATTTATAAAAGTAAGTGGCACCAAAAAACTTTTAATTCCCTTCTGTTCTTTCTATACTAATTGATATTAACTTATTAATTAATATTTATTTAGTTATATTTATTTGAATAGTTATGAATTCACTTATTTATACTATTATCCACGATTATTTCTCCATTTTATCTGTGAAGGACATTAGGATCAAGCCTGTTTTGGTTTTCTGATGTTCACTGTTTATGTTCTTTTTAAAGAGGTTATAAACTATCACGGATTTTGTTATAGATTAAGGATGAGTTGACAAACTATAACCTGTTTTTGTACAGCCTGTGAGTCAGAAATAACATTCGTGTTTTTAAATGATTATAAAAAGTTCAAAAGAATAATACTTCTTGACATGATAATTACATGAAACTCAAATTTAACTTATAAAGTTTTATTGAAATACAGCCAAGCTTACTCACATAGGCCTTGTCTATGATTGCTTTCATACTACTGCAGCAACGTTGAGTAGTTGAAACAGATCAAATTGTCTCCGAACGTCTAAAATGTTTACTGTTTAGCACTTCACAAAAAAAGTTTGCTGACCTGTGCTATAGATTGGTGTTAGCCTCTGGTTTCCAGATTTTGTACTTTTTCAAATTCTTTCTGAGGTGTGTTCTTTGGGTGCCAGTTTCTCACAGCTATTCTAGTCCAGTTGTTCTGAACTCGTGGTGATTTTGCCCCCCAGAAGACATTTAGTAATTACTGGAGACAGTTATGGCTGTCACCAGTCGGGATGGGTAGGTTATGTAGAGGCCAGAGGCCAGGGTTGCTACTCAACATCCTCCGATGCACCAGAGAGCCCCCACGGGAGGGGATCACACAGCCCCAGCGTCAGGAGTGCTGGGCTGGGAGAACTCTGTTGTCTCAGATTTCTTACTGATCTTGTAAATCTGAACAAAATCTCATTTTGGTTCCAGAATCCAAGTAAACCATTCCAGAAAGAGTAGATAATAGTTAAGTTTACAGCAAGATGTTTGAAACTACTTTGGGTTTTATTTATTATAACTGACATATATGACTTTACCACATAATTGAAGTCTAGTTATAACAGAAAACTCAATAGTTAGGTCAATTTTGTGTCCTTGAAAATAGGCTCAGATTCTTTATTAAGGAAATAACAAATGTATGATGGGGCAGTAACAAAAGAAAATGATGAGTCAGCTGTGAGGGTGTGACATGAGTCCCCACATACCCTATTGTAGGTGCAGAGAAAGGTACACCTTTTGTGGGCCATTTTGGCAGGTGTCAGCCTGCATCACATACATCTTGTGACTTAGTGATTCCCATTGAGGGATGCAGCTGTAAGAAGGTAATTTCATAACGATAGGCAGGCTTAGAATCATTTGTCACAGTTCTTTTGTTATACTGGCCAAAAATTGACAGTAACTTAAACATCTAAAATTGTTTATTTTCACTTAATTTTAGATTTTCAGAAATGTTGCAAGGAAAGTACAAAGAATTCCTGAATACTCTTCACCCAGATTCCCCAAATGTTCATGTTATCACATCGATTTTGTCCTTTTTCCCTCTTCTTCCCCGTTTCTCTTTACACACACACCCCTGTACACACTTATTTTTGCCTTAAACCATATGAATAAGTTGCAGATACTGTGCTTCTTCCTTTTACACATTTCATTGTGAATTTCCTAAAACCAAGTAATTTTCTTAAAATAGTTATAAAGGTGAGGAAGTTAGTATCGACATAATTCTGTTATCTAACCCAGAGACCTGTATTCACATTTCCCTAGTTGTGCCAATAATGTCCTTAATGGCAAAAGGAGATTGAAGAGATTGTGTGTATTCAGTGCACCTGTCGTCTTAGACTTCTGGTGTCTGGAGAAGTTGCTGACTTTGTGCTTCGTAGCATTGGATACAGGCCCCTTAGAATGTCCCTCAGTTCAGGTGTCTGATGCCTGGGTTTGTGTTCTGCACTCTGGGAAGGGGTCCCACACAGAAGTGATGTTCAGATGGCCTCATTGCCTCACATGTGAGGAGATACATGCTGTTGTTCAGCTGCCTTACTGGCAATGTTCAACATTGATATTGTACAGTGTGATCACATGTTGTACAGTGATGTCTGCAGGCTTCACAGTGGCTGAGTTGCTGTTTTATACTTTGGAATTAAGAGGTATTCTGTGGGGAGGTACTTGAGACTGTTAAATACCCCAGCACTGACCAGTAGAACATCATGCCATGGTGGAAATACTCTCATTGGCACTACCTGGTGTGGTTGGCGTCAGTCACGTGTGGCTGTTGACCACTTGAAATGTGGATAATGCACCTGAGGGACTGAGGTTTTATTTAATTTTAATTAACAGAAATTTTAATTATGCAGCTGTACATAGCTAATGGCTACAGTATTGGCACTTTAAGTCTCATAATAGCATCCGTTCATGTTTTTTGCCTGAGTCAGTTAATTTGTGATGATTGCCAAATGGTCATTTTCTAATTCCATCTTTATACATTTTACTTGACTTTCTAAGGAGAAGGATTTCCTTCACTCCTGTTAATATATTACTGTAACATAAATATACTTGAGTTTACTTTTGTATGTTCCTAAATTTGGATGCCAGTTCACATGTTTTATAAATGGGCATTTAGGTAAGACTTTTGTAGAATACTTCTGTGTGATCTTACTGTTTTTATAAAACTGCTATAAGTCTAAGCTAACGTATATTTTAATAGCTAAATAATAAGAACCTACCTTACAATCAGAACATGCTCAGTAGTTTAATCTGTATACAAAGGGCATATTTTATAACCCTCACTAGAGCATGCCAAATATTAATATTGGTCTAGATAGAAACTTACTGAAGTATCTAGTATGTGGAAAATATTATTATGCATGGAACAGATTCTATAATTTTATGTCTTTAAACCTTTATTTCTACATAATGACTGTTTTCACAATTCTGGTATCTTGTGATTTCTAATGCCATGTGTTTTCAGTAAGACTCTTTCACACTATTTGAACCTCACTGTTTCTGTTCCCTTCCTTTTCAGGGTAATCTACAGTTGCTGCAGAACTGCCTGGCAGTGCTCAATGGAGACACATAAGCCACACTCTTGCCTTCCAGTTAAAAAGGGCTGCCTTCCTTCAGATTTTATTTTTTCTTAATGATGTTAGGCATTTACTGCTCACTGGAAATGAAAGAAACAGCTGACAGAGTGCATCTCCTCTCCCTTTTTCTGAAAAATAATGGATCAGTGCCACCCACGGGTCTGCGGGCTGCGTGGTGGCACCTGCGCCTTGGACAATTTCCCATCATTGCGCCCTCCTCCTCTTCAGAAGTCCAAAGTTCTGTCTTTTTTAAGTAGCCTCTGTAACTGTGTTTATTTTATGAATAGTATTCCTTTTGGCTGCCAATCTTATTTACCTTTAAATAATTTCTGAAGTTTAACCCTTTCCAAAATACATGGTTTGGAAGATAAGGATTGCCGTTACCTTTTTTAAAAAATTTTGTTAAAAAAAAAAAAACACATTATACACCACCATAGTTCATTCTTGTATCCTGGTAAAGCATCTTAATCAGACTTATTTTAATTAATGAACATTGCTTAGAAGTTTTGGGACAGGCTTTATGTACTCTTTATAAGTATGATTTCTGAAGAAAAGCAAATGCATTATTATGTTTGCCTTAAACTTGTAGACTAAACCAACTATTGTCAAATAAACAGTGATAACAGTGATAGTTTTTAACTCTGTGGTCATTGTATCACTCTAAAATTTGGAGTAGTTATAATCTACTCCTATACTATGCTTTTACAGTGCAGGTCTTAGCTTTTCTTTATTTCTTTTAAAATGGCATATGGAACCAAGTTCACCGCTTTACAAAAGAATGAACTGCTTCTCTGGGTGCTTTGAGCACTTCTTGTAAGATGGAATTGGACAGAGACAGGTTAGAGACCGCTGTTTCTAAAACTGGAACAGAGACTCTGGTCTGTTATGATTCCCAGGATTCCACCTCTAGCTCAGCCAATTAACCATGAGACATATGCCAGAGTATAGATCGGTATGTAGAGAGAAAGAGGCCTGCTATAGGGAATAGCACTTGTCCGTGGGGAAAAATTGGAATATTTGGAATAAAAGTTAGGGTGCAAAGTTAAGGTAATGTCAGTAGCTACTTTACAAATATTATTGACCTTTCTAATGTGAATGACCATTATGTTATTCCTAGTTAGCTTGAGTGGTTGGATTTTTCCACTCTAAGTTGTCTCCCATGTCGAAACCACAGGCATTTGGGTTGGTCACCCCTCCAGTGTGTTCCTAATTGTTTTTGCAAACCATTCTGAAGACCGCCTGCCCGGGTCTCAGGGCTAGTTACTGTGGTTCCAGACTTCCTCGGCTGCCTCACTGGCCTCACTGGTGTGCTGCTCAATGTTCCTCTGTGTTACTGTTGTTCCTTAGCGCGTTTGAATTGTCCATGTTTGTGTTGGCTGAGAGATTGTGTTTTGTCCTCTGTGTCCCCTTCACTGGTGAGAATATGCCCCTGTGATGCCCACCATTGGGTGAACGTGGGGTGGAGGGCCCCAGCCTCTGGATTCAGGGGCTGTCCCTTCACCAGCTGCCGTTGTGGCCTCAAACCACAAGGTTCATTTGAGCTTTGCCTGTTTCTCCACCATGAAGGATATACTGACCTACCTCACAGGGGTGTTGTGAGGATTAATAAATATTGGTACAGTGCTTTGGAAATGTGAAGATGCTGTGTCAATGCTAAAAAATAGCAAGTTCACAATTTTCTACACAGCCATCAACTAATCTGTTTCTACCAAGGTGGCCTTTTTCTAGGAAGGGAGTACAGTGGAAAGTACATCCCCTGACGACCTGGTTTACATTTTAGAATGCTTGACGGAATGGAGGTAAACTGGAGGCAACAATTACGAGTGTGGGGAGGTGAGGTGTGCTTAATAAATACATGTATAAATGAATTAATTACTATCCAAGGGTCTTGGGAAAGAATGTGTGTTACTGCTTTGAAGTCATATGGAAAAAATTTACTTTGTACCTCCAGAATAATTGAAACATTTATTCTGTAGCTCACTGCTAGTCTCTCTTAAAAATAGCCCACCCTGGATTCACTGCTAGTGATTGAGTTGTGGCATTCATAAAACCTACCATTGCAAAGGTGCCAGAGGAAGACATCTAGTGGCAGAGACAGGACAGCAGTGGACAAAATGGCTTCCCTCAGGAGACGCTTTATGCTTCGAGAGGAAGAGGAGCAACCTGATCTGTGGAAGTGACTTGAGGAGTCATGGCTGGTTGTGGTGGGAACCAAGGGTGTGAGGGATTAGGAGTTTATGTGATGAGCAAGGAGGGTGACAGGAGAGGAAATCATTGAAGAAAAAAGGTGGGTCAAGCCTGCCTGAGGCCAGTGAGGGTCCAACTGGATGAGAGTTTTTTTTCCAGTGGGCACATAGGGGTGTAAAAGGAAAGCTGTCAAGAAATTGATTTTTCACTGCTTATGGGGTAGAGGAGAAATATCAATAAGCTGAGGTATGCAGATGACACCACCCTTATGGCAGAAAGTGAAGAACTAAAGAGCCTGTTGATGAAAAGAGTGAAAGTGCTGGCTTAAAACTCAATATTCAAAAAACAAAAGATCATGACATCTGGTCCCATCCCCTCATGGCAAATAGATGGGGGGAAAAATGAAAACAGTGACAGACTATTTTCTTGGACTCCAAAATTCTGTGGTTGGTGACTGCAGCCATGAAATTAAAAGATGCTTGCTCCTTAAAGAAAAGCTATGACAAATCTAGACCACATATTAAAAAAGCAGAGACATCACTTTGTTTACAAACGTCCTTATAGAAAGCTATGGCCTTTCCAGTCACACACACATGTGAGAATTGGACCATCAAGAAGGCTGAGAGCCAAAGAATTGATGCTTTGGAACAATGGTGCTGGAGAAGACTTGAGAGTCCCTTGGACAGCAACGAAATCAAACCAGTCAATCCTGCAGGAAATCAACCCTGAATGTTCATTGGAAAGACTGATGCTAAAGTTGAAGCTCCAATAGTTTGGCTACCATTGGAAAAGACCCTGATGCTGGGAAAGACTGAGAGCAAGAGAAGGGGGCGACAGAAGATGAGATGGTTGGATGGCATCATTTTGACTCAATGGACGTGAGTTTGAGCAAACTTCGATAGATGGCATGGTGCAGTTCATGGGGTGGCAAAGAATCAGCAGAACTGAGGCACTGAACAACAACCATAGCTAACGGAAAGCAAGTTTATAGAAAACGAAAACTTAAATGACAAAAGAGCACCGCTACAAATCCCTTTGGGTATAAAACATCGAAACACACATACTCCACACACCAAATAAGTCCCTCTTTATCTGTATTCACAATTACCAGGGGAAAGGGCGAACACAGTCCCCTACTACCCCAAATTATGCAGTCGAGCTTCCCACATTTGGGCAAGTCGCAGGGGTCAGCACACCCAGAGTTCAATGAATAAGCCTCGCCCTGGGAAAACCACCTTCGTGATCATGGTATCTCCCCTGCCAGGTAAGTATGAGTTTTCGCCCATGCACCGCCCAGCACTCTCGCGCTCGCTTCATCCTCCAGGCACGATCACTTTCTCAGCCGACTCCGCACTCTCCGGGCCCTCCGCCCCTGCACGCCCGTCGCCGCGGCCTCGCTCAGCCGTAGACCAACCCCAGGAGCCTCCGCGTGTCCACACGCAGGACGCGCAGGCCCAGGTGAAGCGGGACCAGCAACCTCTGCGCGCCTGCTCATCTACATGCGCCACGCCCGTGCGTGGGTGTCTCCGGCGTCCTTTTGCTTCGCCTTGGGGACCGCGGAGCCTACTGACCTCACCCGAGACGCGCGGATATCTTCGATGGGGGGGCGGAGGGGCGCGTGGCGACAAGTGGGGACCTGCAGAGGGGACCAGAGAAGACGAGCTCGCGGCGTTCGGTGCCCCGCAGTTGAGGGGGTGGGTGGGTCCGGGCTTGAGTCTGGTTTCACCTTCTTTTTACTGAAATTGACACGCAACAGGATGTCAATCGGACGTTAAATAGTAAGAGCAGAGTTTCGTCTTAAATTTAGCATGAAATTTAATCCTCGTCCCTGATCTTTCAGATTATGTAGTACTCTAATCTTGCAACAGCGAAAGAAAAACAGGCTATCAGGGCAAACCCGTCCCTGCAAGGGGTAGATGTGTATGGGCTGGGTGGGGTGCTGAATGGTCCCTGAAAATCAAATCCACGCAAATATCACGTTTTCGTCTTGAAGGACTAGGCTGCCTTTTCAACCTCCAGATTTGTCTTTTCCTCTTCCGTACATGAAGATTATTTCTCGGAATCGAGTGGCTCCTTCCCAAACATGAGCAAAACGACTGAGCGAACTGTTGTGCGCTCCTGGGTGGTCCGTGCTAGGGAGCAAAGCGAGGCGAGAGGCATGACTGGAGATTTTAAGATTAGGGAAGGCTTCCTGAGGTCCTGACTGCTCAAAGATCCTAGAACACGTGTTATAGCACCATTTTTTCTTTCTGTTTTTTGCCGAGATGTCTGGTGGGGGCAATGCTAGTTCCCCCAATAGGGATGGAATCGCGCGCCCGCCCCGATCCCCACCCCAACCCCCCGCGCCCTGCAGTGGAAGTACGGAGTCTTAACCACTAGACCACCCGGGAAGTTCCAAGCACCCTTTTTGATTATTGGTTGTCTCAGGAAGTTTTCTTTCTTAGTGTATATTTCCTAAAAATAGAGGATTTTCTTATCTAACCCCAGTGTAACTATAAAAATCAAGAAATTAACATTAGTGCTCGCTTCGGCAGCACATATACTAAAATTGGAACGATACAGAGAAGATTAGCATGGCCCCTGCGCAAGGATGACACGCAAATTCGTGAAGCGTTCCATATTTTTAAAGAAAAAGAAAAGAAAAAAAAAAGAAATTAACATTAATACGTTATTTATTCTATAGACATTATTCCATTTGCTCAATTCTCCCAGTAATCCTTTATAGCAAAGGAAAATTCAGAATCATGTGTTACATTATGTATCCTGACTTTTTAACCTTCTTTAATCTTATATAACTCTCAGCCCTTTT